ACGAGAAAAGAAAATTCACTCGAATTTTGCATTTCCTGCACCTTACATGATTAAGTCTGAAGACGTTGTATACTACAACGAGACGTCGCGTTATTTAAATAAAAATAAAAGTCATAATATATAAAATAAAATAATGCATTACTCAGGAAGAGGCATACCACAAACTCAAAAATTGGACGCAAAATATTGTTTGAGAAAAAAGAGCTTTTAGTGTTATAGATAAAGGATTCATATAATATTAATAAAAGAAGTTTCTCTTCTGCAGAAGTTATTTATTTTTAAACAAACTGTAAAAAGAAAATGCCACTCTTATGAAGTAATGGCTGCTAGTAATAAATCGTTCGTAAGAGAACAAAGAAAAAAATTTCATCGTTCTGTTTACACGAGTTCTTACCTGTGCGCAAGTATATATTTACCGTTTCATTCAAGAAAATGGGATGCAATTTATCACAGCAGCATGATTACCACAGCGACAGACCTTCACAACCGCGGTCATCGAAAACAAGTCATGAATCATCAAATAAAATAAAAAGTTATGATTTGTCTAATTTAGCTGTTATTACAATTATTTTTAATCCCGTCAAATTCAAAAGTCGTTATGAACATTATCAAAATTTTGCAGCACATATGAATCAATCCGGTGTACAATTGATAACTGTTGAATGTATATTCGAGTCAACGACACGTTTTGGTTTACCTCCACAGACTTTTGAAGTAACTCGTGCCGATAATCGTTATCATGTTCAACTTGTTGCTCCATGTATTTTATGGATGAAAGAGAATTTAATTAACATAGCTGTTCAACGATTACCACCGCAATTTGAATATGTTGCATGGATCGATGCTGACATTGAATTTGATGTAGGTGCTTAAAAAAAATGAAAGAGAGGAACGGAAAATTCCAAGTAGATCGCTTTCCGAATGAACTAGATTTTGTAAGATTTGTTCTCACTTCAAATAATAATACAAAGAATGGACATTTAAGACAAACACAACAGAATGTTTTCTCTTTTTAGAGTCTTGATTGGCCATATCTAACTATTGCTGAATTGCAACGTTATCCAATTGTACAACTTTTTGAATTGTCATTTTTTCTTGGACCTATGGGAAAAAAAGAAATATTACGTCGTGATTATTCATTTGTGTACTCGATAAGAAACAAGAAACCGATTGATCCAAGACGATATAATGAATGGTATCCTCATCCAGGTTATGCTTGGGCTATGCGTCGTTCAGCTTTTAATTCAATTCGAGGTCTCATTGATTTTTGCATTGTTGGATCAGCTGATTTACATTTCGCTTTTGCACTTTTAAATCGTATTGAAGAAACAGTTCCACCAGGTTTACATGAAGATTACCATGAATTAGCTGTAAGATGGGGAAAACCAGTGGCACAACTAGCTCAGAATGGTGAAAATGTTAGCTACTTACCGATTAACATATGGCACTTTTGGCATGGAGAACGAAATAACAGAAACTATGTTAATAGATGGTAAATATAGAAAAAGAGAAGAATACAGAAACTTTATTATGAATACATCTTTGCAGATTAAATTTGAGTCAGGTGTTTCTAAAAATATTTTAATTAAAAATATTTGACAAAGATTTCAATAAGCCTTTTGTGAAACACAACCTGAAAGGAGTGTTGAAGTGTTTAGGGTAGAAATTTTGCACCCTCCCCCCTCCCCTGCCCCTCCCTGCACAGACCGTTACAGGCAAGATTCGAGGGTGCCACAGATCGTTACAGAAACGCTTCAGGATCATCACAGACCGTTGCAGAAAGGATTTGACAGTGTCACAGCCATTTACATACAAGCTTCAGTGGTATCATAGACCGTGATGAAAAGGGTTGAGAACCATTACAGAAGTGACAGGCGAACTCGAGAGACCTCGCTGAGCGTTACCAATCTTTGATACAGGATCGATGAATATATGTCACTAACTTCTGATGAGAGTATATTAGCTGTTTCTGTATTGCAACTCTAGTAGTTAAATAAGAAATGATGAGTGAATGGTTACTAGGATTCATGGAAGAAAGCAGGATTTGCATGACTGTTGAGAGTAGATACGTCGTGTTTCACATTTTTAATCCCAAAGGGATTGCGCTAACAGCTTTTACTCTTAGGGCCATTCTTAAAAAACATCAATATTCACCGATCAATGATCTCGAAAAAAACGATGATACTGACCTTGTTCGTCTACCTGGCAAAAATCCTTTAGGACATCGCCAAGAAAACTCACGTATAGAAGCGATTGAGCGTGATATTGTTGACTATTTTAAATCACGTAATGAAGATGATACTAATACAATACATACTCCTGTGCAGCCTCAACCTAATGTTAAGAAACAATCTTTCATAGCAACAAAACCTCAAGTTAAACGTGGAGGTAATAGTGATCATATTAGGCCTGGAATAATTCCACCAAAACATTCACAAGGCGGTACTAGATCTCGTAACCGGTCTCCAAGTCCCCCGGATAATGATATCGATGATGACAACACATATGTAGATGATGGTGCTGATCCTGAAGATGATCATCATTCTGAAAATAACGATTCTTCATGCTTAGATCATTATTCAGATAATGAACACTGTGGAAATGTATCAGAACATGAACACCACCATCATTATCATCACGAAGATTGTAGCAATGTTGGTCATAGCGGTTACAATAATTGCAATTCACATGTTGGAGATGGATTCGATAATACAGATTATGATACTGCTGGAATCTTTTACTAATATAAAATAGTCAATTTGAGAATGAAAACTATATAAAACAAGACAAATCTCAACAGTTAAATTGAACTTCACCTATTTTCAGTTCTCTGCTAACCAAATAGAGTATATCCTATACTTTAAATTTTTAAACATTTTATTTGAATACTGAAGAATTTTGGGAAATACGATCTGAAAGGGGTATTGAAGTGTTTACGACAGAAAATTTGCCTCTCCCTAGACCGTGACAGAGAACTTCCAGAGACCATCACAGACCCTGACAGATGAACTCAAGAAATTTTTAGATGGTATGCGTGTGGGTTACGGTGTGTGTCTATGGCTGTAGGTATACGAGAAATGATTATCCACCCGCCGATCCGCAAACCAACAGTCTCCTCGAAATGGTTTGAAGTGTGCCATTGACTTTTTTCTTTTTATATAATATTCATTAAAGTGGAGGAATGTTCAGATTTCCTGAAAAAGAAATTTCCGAAAATACCAAAATTTCCACAAACAGCATTTAATGATACGTGTGCTTAATAACAGAAATTTCCCAGAAATTTTAGTAATTACTATTATACCAGACAGAAATTTCCTCACAATTTCCCAAATATTCAAACAATGCCAAAGCAAATTTACAGGAAATTTCGGAAATTACCTGTACATATGGAAAGAAATTTCGGTAATTACTCATAGTATACAAGGAACATTACTAGATAATTTCCGTAAATACCACATCTCTGGAATGAAATTTCGGTAATTACTAGGAAATTTCTATAAATTCCAAAATTATATAATAATCATATAATAAGATTCATATACAATTAAAGAACCCTACCTCCAAAAAGTTGAAGAATTTATGGTAATTTCGGAAATTACCAAGAAATTTTAGTAATTACGGAAATTTCTATAATTTCTACAATATTTTAATATAGATATCTTATAATATAATCAAAGACTTAAGGAACCCTACCCCCGAAAAGCTGAGGAATTTATGGTAATTTCGGAAATTACCAGGAAATTTTAGTAATTACAGAAATTTCTATAATTTCTACAATATCATAATATAGATACCTTATAATATAATCATAGATTTAAGGAACCCTACCCCCCAAAAAGTTGAGGAATTTATGGTAATTTCGGAAATTACTAGGAAATTTTAGTAATTATGGAAATTTCTATAATTTCTACAATATTATAATATAGATATGTTATAATATAATCATAGACTTAAGGAACCCTACCCCTTAAAAGTAGAAGAATTTTTGGTAATTTCGGAAATTACTAGGAAATTTTAGTAATTACGGAAATTTCTATAATTTCTTTTTGATTATGATTATATAGATATGATATAATAGGTATAGATTTAAAGACCCCTACCCCTTAAAAGTAGAAGAATTTATGGTAATTTCGGAAATTACTAGGAAATTTTAGTAATTACAGAAATTTCTATAATTTCTTGATTATTATTGTATGGATATGATATAATAGATATAGATGTAAAGACCCCTACCCCTTAAAAGTAGAAGAAATTTCGGTAATTTCGGAAATTACCAAGAAATTTTAGTAATTACGGAAATTTCTGTAATTTCTTTTTGGTTGTTATTTTATAGATATGGCATTACAGATATAGATTTAAAGACCCCTACCCCTTAAAAGTAGAAGAATTTTTGGTAATTTCCGAAATTACCATAAATTCGTTAACTTTTTGGGGGTAGGGTTCCTTAAGTCTGTGATTATATTATAAGATATCTACATTATAATATTGTAGAAATTATAGAAATTACCGTAATTACTAAAATTTCTTGGTAATTTCCGAAATTACCATAAATTCCTCAACTTTTCGGGGGTAGGGTTCCTTAAGTCTATGATTATATTATAAGATATCTATATTAAAATATTGTAGAAATTATAGAAATTTCCGTAATTACTAAAATTTCTTGGTAATTTCCGAAATTACCATAAATTTCTCAACTTTTCGGGGGTAGGGTTCCTTTAGTCTATGATTATATTATAACATATCTATATTAAAATATTGTAGAAATTATAGAAATTTCCGTAATTACTAAAATTTCCTGGTAATTTCCGAAATTACCATAAATTCTTCAACTTTTTGGAGGTAAGGTTCTGTAATTGTATATGAATCTTATTATATGATTATTATATAATTTTGGAATTTATAGAAATTTCCTAGTAATTACCGAAATTTCTGAGAAATTTCCATTGAAATTTCTTCGCGAGAGCTAGTGAATTTCAGAAATTTCGTTATAATTTTTTCTGGATATGTCTATATTTTCGGTAATTACCGGTAAATTTCATTCCAGAGAGGTGGTATTTACGGAAATTATCTAGGAATTTTCCTGGTATAGTATGAGTAATTACCAAAATTTCTTTCCATATGTGCAGGTAATTTCCGAAGTTTGTTGAAAAATTCTTTGTTGTGCTTATATTGTTTTCTAAAATGTATGGCGGTAGTTACGGTAGTTTCTGAAACTAGCATTTTGTATTGCTGTAATTTCCGAAATATGCATTTTTAAGAGGGAAATTTCCTTTTTCGGAAATCTGCCCACTGCTGGGGTGTGGGTGTGGGTGTGGGTGTGGACGGGTGTGGATGTTCTTGTTGTAATTCACACACCCTCACCCTCACCCACACCCACATCCACATCGACACTCACACCCACACCCACACCCACACCACACATCTACACCCCACACCACACACCCACATCTCACACCCACACCACACACCCACACCCACACCCATATCCACACCCACACCCATATCCACACCCACACCCTTCTTAATGATGTCCGATAAGATGTGAAAAAATGAGAAAAGAAAACGAAAACCTAAACATGAAAACAATCAATTGCTTAACAGATGAAACATTCATCAGGGTGAATGAAGTATGGCCGGTTCCGTCTGGGAAACATCGAGAAATGGTAGGAACTCGGAAGCATGAGTCCGATCGATGGATCTGATGGCTGTGTCGGTTTGAGTACGAGTTTATGAGCGGTGTACATGGGCGTGCGAATGTGAGTGGGGGCTCAAGGGAGAAAACGTGAGACTTCAAGAGCGTGTGGGTGGATATGACTGTCGATGTTAATGCGGGCGTGAGTGTGAGGGTAGGCGTGCCTGATTTTTTCCATCATTACCCACACGCACACCAACAAACCACCTCCAGAACCCATATCCATACACGTGCACCGACACTTGGAAATATCTTTAAACAAATTGATCGTCCTTAAATAAGCAGGGGTACTAGCTCAAATACTTTCTGAAGCAAAACTTGATTAACTCTTTCCTGTGAAATTTTATATAATGAAATCACTACTTTTGGACTGCCCTAAGTAGACTGATGAGGGAACATTTCCAAGTGTGAGTCTCAATTTTAAATGGGATATATACCAGATTGTAGAGCTCGACGAGCTGATTCTTGTGGTATGTTCCGTTTTTGCCCATAGACCTCAAATGAGAAAATTGGTATGTTTTATTTGTACCGGATAACACTGGAAATATCGAACTTTTAAGCGCAACATTCGCATAGAAAGGCAATTTTTAAAACTGTTTATAGTACTTTGAGCCATTGATTTTCACATATCACACCCGAAACTATTTAAAGAAACGGTGCTCTTTATATTCTCAAGGTTATTTTTGTGCATGGCAATATTATTTACATGATAGAATTTGACCAACCGAAGTTGCATAAGAAAGCTTTGTTCTACATTCCGAAGTTTAAGCTTTATGATTTTCGTGTTTCGAGTTGCATAGACTATCATTTTATCATTTCATTCGTTTTATTCGAAAAACATATCAAGAACACAATCAATGAAAATGATACGCGGTGAAAAAATGTTCGAAACACAATATTCGTCAACAATGACTACAACAAATAAATGCATTCTGCTCAAAATTATTATTTGAGCAACTGCCTGCATCAAAAGAAAAACAGACGTCTATAACGCTCGAAAAATTCGAGTATTGTTTAGGAATGTAGCCACAAGTTGATCATGCGTATAAAATCATTGGTTTAAATAAAGAAGAACTCAGTTGATTATGAACCAGACTTTGTAGTTTGATTATAGCGTCACGACTTCTTAAGTCAACATCTAATTCGTCTAGAGATACACGATGATATATTCTTTTTGTTAACACTTTCCATTCTCGGAAAAAATAAGTATCACACGGTTGTTTAGTTGATGTTGCTCTTCTAGGTATCACTAAAAATTTACATGACTGTCCTTTTGTCAGGTTATTCTCATATACAGTAATGTCAGCCTGCG